GGGGGGGGAGGAGGAGGAGGTGATGGTTGAGGTGGCGAAGGGGGACAGAAGGGTGGTTTAAACGGGTGAACACGTCGCAACTAAGGTCGCGGCGGACGTTACTAGGTCACTGGAGTGACCGCGATGCATTGCACCCGCACCCGCTCCTCCCTCCCATCCCCCTTTTTGCGTTGTCCCCCTATCTTCCTCCTGCCCTGAATCTCCCGATGCCCTTTCCTCGATGCTCTGTGTTTCTCTTGGAATCCGTGAGGGCAGAAGAAACGAACGAGGTGAATTCTCTCTCTCTCCCGTTGTATAATCACCTAGAATGTTTGCATTACAATCGCACGATTTATACTCGCGTATAATTTTTCGATGGAGATACATTCGTAGATATATAATTCTTCGAATCTCCATCGAAAAATTTTGCAAACTCCTAAAAAAGTTCAAGCAATGTTCCACTTCTTTACTCTTTAACGATACATCGCTCTACTAATTCGCAATCGAATATAGATAGAATATCATTTGTAAAAATTACATATGAAATGTCTATATTTTTTTTTTTCGAAATCTATTTGACGTTTTTGTCTCTAGAGCTTTTAGCATTTTACATGCTTTTTTTAAATTCTCGAATACTCGTACTCGCAAATATTTTTTTTGTATCTTGAAAATTTTCAATCATCGTGTTAAAGAGGATTCTACAAATCGACAGATACTTGAATAATATTGCGAAAATTGGAACGAGTTTTTTCCTCGATGGGAGTACCGCGTCCTGGCGCGCTGAAACTCAAGTTTGAGTTCCTATAGAGTTCTCGCTTCACTCGTTTACGCTTCGGCAAACCGGTTTCGACGATTTCAGCACCGACGAAAAACCGGACCTCGATGGACGCGCATGTAAATTGCATAGTTTCAAAGCACAATCGAACTTAACGATAGACAGTAGAAGCAAAGCGCTTTAAATATGAAACCTATATGCATGATAATTTAGACATGAAAAATATTAAATATTCTGCATATTTCTTCAAATTTAAATATTTGTTTTTGAACAATTGAACGTGTTTTAATATAGAATTCATCTTACAAATCAGATATTTTTTTCTGTCAAATCTAAATTATTTTGTGAAAGATAAAATTGATTTTACGAATTATAGATTAAAATGGATCTCGAAAAAATTTTGATAAAGAATTTAAATCTCTTCATAAATTTCTTTCACGTTAAATTCAATAGTTAAATATCAATAGATCAATAGATAGATATTTTTTATAGATTAATAAAATTTTGCAGAAAATCGAAGATTAAATATTCTTTTTTTGATTTGATAAAGATTCTATCAATCATAAATGTCCTGGTGCTTCATTAAGCTTTATCGATTGATATAAAGAATCCATTGCGTGGACAAGCGCTAATTACTTCAACTTTGACGAAAATGCATTTTTGGCTTAATTATAAAAGTAAGGAGCGTAGTATGAATCCAATTATCGCGTCATAAATCAGCAAACTGCAAGGTGTCATTAGGCTTCCCTCTCTCCTGCATTCTATTCAACGAAGGTCAACGACATAGCTTTACAATGCTCATTTATTGCCATCCATTCGGATGTATGTCATTCACCTTGATTTACTACTACTGTGTATTTCAGAGAAGAAATAACATAACGTTTTTAAATTTCATATATGGTCAATTTCTTTATCTTTGCGAAAAGCAAAATAGATTTAAAAAGAATGTCCTGCAGAAGTTTTTGGAAATAACAATAACCGGGAAAAAGTCAGAAAATACCTAAAAAAAAATCGCAAATTTTCCTGAAAGGCATTTAAATTCTTTTAGAAAAAGGGCTATAGGAAATTCCAAAATTTTTAAATATCGTTTCTATTCAATATATACACAAGCATATACACATTGTTGATAATTTTTTTCTACAAACTTTTCAAGAATGTGCTATTTGAAAAATGGCAGGTAAAATGGTTCACCATTATAAGTCGGATAATATTATCTGTTAATAAATTTCATGTTTCAATTTTCGAACACATTTTTATATAGCTCGAAAAAGCGCATATTTCGACATTACTTCATAAATTTCAACATTTCTACATATCTTTTTGTATTTTTTATTTTATATATTCATTGTCAATAATTTCAGCGCACGAAAAACGAGGCATTTTCTTTGCAATATATTTTTCGTGCGTTAACCAAGAATATTTGTTAATAATTAATCATTAATATTCTTACTCCTTCTCTTCTTTCTTGTAAAAAACATTAAAAATCTGAAGTAAAATAGTAAAAACGTACAGAGGCTTCTGGCAGTCGAAAACGGACGTGGTTTTGTGACCGCAACTGCGGTTTCACTTCTCTCCCCAGTAAGATGAACGACGAGGAGTCAAAGCAACGCAACGACGAGAGAAAGTCGGGAAGATGCGAGAGGCGAGATGTATTTTACTTTCACTTCTCGCACGTATCCGTAATGCCACCGCCGGTCAGGTTCGTTCAAAGCTAAAGAATGACGAATCGTTTTGGAAATTCACAGCAATTGCAGGGTTTCTCGTCGCGGTTTTTTCTCTGCTTTTTACATGCCCGACCCTCTTTTCCAATCTTTATGAAAACAAGTTGTAGAGATAATATATCTCATTTGCATTGAAATGCGATAGTCGTACAAATATATGAATTTAAAGCTATAAAAATACAATTAATATAGTAAATACTCTAATTGCGAATTTAGAGAAAAGAAAATACTCTTCATAATTCTAGTATTAATTTTAAAATCGGTTAAAATTTCTTTTTTTTTTTATAGTAAATAATTGCGTTTTTATTGTAAATAATTGCAAAATTCCTTTTTTAAAAACTTGACTTTCATAAAATGTAAAAAAATCGAAAAACAAATTGAATGTGTAAAATAAAAAAAAAATGGAATATGGGAAAGGTGAGAAAAAGGAGAGCAATTAACCTAACAGTTAAAGACAAAGAGAATTTGAGAATTAAAAAGCTAAGAATTTAGGGGGTTCAAACGTTCATTAAAGCATTTATAACAACAAAATTTAGAGTTTCAAGATCAGAGAAAGCTTGTCGTAATAATCAATATTCAAATGAACTTTCGAGTAGATACTAAGTACTTAAATAATTAGAATATTCTTAAAACTATGCGCGCGTATAAGTGTGTTTTATCGCAGGCCGGACGCTATTTTACTGAGCTTGATGGACTGAAAGCATTACTTTTATTTCTTTCTAAAGTTTTTTTACTTACAAGGTATTTGGTTTGCTCCATGCATCACTCTGACATGCAGTTTTCTCATTAGGTATATAAATTATGGTAATGATTCGGTATTATATAATAATTATAATTATAATAATTATTTATTATTATTAATATTAATATTATCATTATATCCAGTATTTCCTTTGCCTTTTTTCGCTACTCACGGAGTGCTTTGCTCTCTTCCTCCCCTTCTCCTCATTCACATACATTTCACCCAATTTCTCTCCCTTTTTTTCCCTTTCTTTCTCTTTGCAACAATAATCGTCGCTTCCCAAGGAATGATTCGAGAACTCCACCGTGTATTGATTCACGTCGCGCGAAACTGATAAGGCATGATCGATTATCGATTAACTGAAAATGACGCGCGCGTCCTGAAAGTAATCTACGATATTGTGATTCGTAGATTTCTTTCGAAAATTCCAATTTAAAAATGTGGATATTTAATTGTCAAACATTCTGATATATTCGAAAGAACTGAAAGTTGCCAACCTTTCTGAATGTCTAGAATAAGAGAACGTGAAATATTGATTTACTGAATATTTATGCGTGTAGAACCATAACTTGCGGCCTCGGAATGAATAAAAAATAAAAAAAAATATCTTTGTCTTTCTTTTGCACATATATTCGTGTACCAAGTTACGATTCTACCAACCTCTATCTGCAAATTCCGTGGCCATTTACGTGTAAACATACAACATTGCTTTGCACTCGCTTGCGACATTACTCTGCGAAGTTAATCCATCGGATTATCGACCTAGAAGAGAAAAAAAGCTAAAAAAAAAAAATAACGCGCGACGATTGGAAATATCAACGAAAAGTTGCGGCGGTCGGTAACAAATAGAACATCACGAGGGAGTCTCGTTAGTTATTTACGACGCGTCGCAAAGGGTGGATTAGAAATGTGTAGACGATGAGAAATGTGTATCAAGGTTTTGCATCATCTTCTTGTTTGTAGAACGGCAGTTGTGTTTGTGTTGAAGAGCGGTAATCGAGGAGCCGTGGAAGAAGATATTTGAGTATTCGGATATCCGGCAATTCGACAACATAAATGGTTTGACAAAAAGAAAACACTGTCTGCAAAACCATCTCGGGTCGAGATAATTTTTTTTTAAATTGCCGGTTTAAAGATTCAAAGATTTCAAAATCGAAAGTTCGATTTTCTCAAATTCTAAAAATCGGAAATTCTTAACGTAAATTCGAAAAAGATCAAAGATTTTAAATATCGTTAAGATTTTCTGCGTCGGAAAGTGATACGTCGACCGAAGAAATTAATAAAAAAGAAAAAAAAGAAGATAATTAGAAACTCGTCAAGAGTGCCAGGGATACAAAGGCTTATTCACTATATTCGTGAAAGGTCCTTTATTTCTAATAACACTGAGTATATACTTTCACGTTTCCTCGTCCGCTCCAACATACTTTTTTATACAGGAGATCCATAATCAAAAGGTGGTGCAAAACTCTTGCTGACATTGCTGAACACGCGAGATTGTCCGAACAACAACAACGACGACGAGGATGCGGCTGTATTAATCTTGCTTGACATCGACGAGGATGCGAATTCGTCGGTCACTCGATAAAAATGGCTACCAGAACGGGAGGAGCATAAAGAAACGAGACATAACGAGACTATGTCGGGCGAAAAGGATACGAAAAGGAAGAGAAGCGGAGTGAAATGGATTCGAGAATTCGAGGATCCCAGAATCCATCCGAATCTCTGGAATTTCGCGAATCCTCCTTATTCCGTCCCCTCCCTTCCGCAACGGGAGCCGAGGATGAAGCGAGCGGCTATGCTCCGTCCAAGCAATCGCGCAATACAGTAATTCATCCATCCATCCGCGTCCGTCCGTCCGTCCGTGCATCCATCTCTACACTACCTATCCGTCCGTCCGTCCGTCCGTCGTCCATACGTCCGTCGGTCCATCATCCGTTCGATGATTCAGAATCGACGACGCGGTGCCGCGACGATCGACAGACTTCTGGCGGGCACGAAAGTGCTGACGTTGTTGCTCGTCGCGTCACCGAGCCGATCGGGTCACTTCTTGCTCTTCTTGGTAGGCGGCTCCTGCGCGTCCTGCGAGTCCTCCTCGGTGTCCTCGCTATCGGTAGGTCGTGGCGTCGCGTTATTGCTGCTGTCATTTGTAATGAGAGAATCATTTGTGTCCTCGCTGGCGCCTACAACGGGATGATCGCCGGCAGTAATCGGCGTCGCCGGTTTATCCATCGAATCCTCAGTGAAGGACGTTGTCGTGCTGTTCTCGTCGATCGCCGCTGGATCGAGCGCCGCCGGCGTGTCTTTGCCATTCGCCACTGTCTCTTGATTGCTATCATCCGATGGTTCCGTCGCCTCGCCGTTACTGGCACCGTGCGAATTGCCATTTTCTGTCGAACCCGGGATGCCATCGAGCAGCTCCGGCTTCAGTTCGGACGCCACATAGTGTGTCCATAGCGCCAGCTCGACTCTGTGTGGGCTCCATGTCTTGCCGTTTGACGCTAGAACAAATAATATTTAAAATGACACTTTACAAATGCTCTCTAAATGTTTCCCTTCTCTCTTTTTCCGAGCATTTTAAATGTTCTTGTAAAATCTCGAAGATGTGAAAATACAAAAATACGAAGCATTAAAAGCTCAAGGATTTCACAATGAAATCAAGATATCACAATTTAGTAAAGATATCATTAAAATCAAGGAGATAAAGTATATAACATTTTATTCGAAGAGGTGCGCGGAAATATAAAATTAGCTACTGGAGATTCAAGAATCCGACGATGAGGAACCAAGCCACGCGGGAATAATGTGAGAATTTCCTTTCCAAGGATTCGATACGGTAAACGCGCGATTTCAGGATTGCATGCACGGATGTTAAATGAGTCATAACCGCTTACTCTGTTTGTTCAGCCTCTCGACGGTGTTCTGAATGTGCTGGACGAAGTTTAAGTATTCCTTAGTGGTGTAATCGATACCCTCGATCTCCGGTATCGCCATCAGGCACTCGTCCGCCATGAAGGGCGCGTTCTCCGGCGACGCGGCGGCGAGCAGGGCCGACGCCATCGTGGTACCGACGCCCTTCAGATTCGACAGCGCCGTGATCGCTTGCTCGAGATTCGGGAGCTTCTTAAACGCCTTCTTCGTTTCTGCCATCACGGCGCGCGGTGTGTTCACCTTCACCAGGTAGGACAACTGCGGATAGAACTTGCCACGCTGGAAAACAAAATGGCGGTCAAGTCCCGTGGAGCGCCTGGATCCTTGGATCGAAAGCGAAAATCCGTTTACACTCGTCGAGTCGTCACGTCGTGATCTCGCACCTAGAGCTTCGCCAAATCCGAAAGCTATGAGTTTTATATTAAGATAACTAACGATTCGAGACACGATTCCATTCCGACGATACATTTCTTCTCAAAGATTATTTCCATCGGAAATAATATTGTTTTCATTTATGTTTAATTAAGATTTTTGCCAATGCATCTTCTTGTTCTCAAGAATAAAGACCTCTAGATAAATAAAGCGAAAATTGTGGGAGCTATAGTTTTGCGCGCTCCATTAATTATAAGCTGCAATATCCCTTATCATCTAATCGTATATAATCCAATTGTAAAAGAGATAACGATCGCGCTTCACATCATTGTTAACTCACGGGCTTCTCACACCGCTCTAGAGCGCCGTTAGAGACATTAATAAAATTCGCCTAATTAATACTCAAGACGAAACCACGTTCGGACTTGGCGGGATCCGGGATTCGATATCAAACGAGGAAACGAGCGACTTACTATTTGCTTCCATTTCATCGTCTGTACCAGTTCCTCGTGATTGAGATGCGCATCCTTGCCACGTGATTTGATCTTCTTCGGAAGCTCATTCTGATACCTGTCGATACAAACAACGAGATCCAGATGCGATCAAGATTGATTCGTCGTTCAAGAATAGAGAAGCACGCATGTATATATACATACACATGCATGCAATGGCCGCACGCACGCACGCACCACATACACACACACACACACACACACACACACACACACACACACACACACACCTACGCGCGTACGCATGAGCGACGACAGGCATGACGTAATCGCGCCGCTGCTGCTGCTGCAGAATACAGGAATTCGTTAAAGGCTCGATTAAAAATACAAACGCTGCCGCAAGAAGCATGACACGCCCCTCGTCAACGATTGGAGGACGAACCCAACTTTATCACGCACGTGGATCACACGTGGATTCGCGATCTCAATATCCGTCACAACCCCTTCGGCAAATGCTCGAAATTATCGGGGCAACAACGAAAGCCGACATTACAAAATTAAACATTCAGGAAATTGGTGGGCTCAAAAAAGCGATGTTCGAGGAAATTAAAAGATTTGCCCCAATAATCGAAAGCCCGAAAGAGAACGAAAACACGAGGATGTTTATATTAATGATTTTTCCCTTTGTTGATGAATTATTAGAATAATCCGAGATATTTCATAGTGAATTCCGCAAAATATTAATAAATCGGCTTTCAATATAACTGTAAATAAGCGGGATTTGTATGATCCAATGTATTTAATTTCGGAGATCTCGAATTCATCACGAGGAAATTATTAAATATGCAAATTATTGGACTATTTCATCTCGCGAAATTTGTTGATTATGATTTGAACAAATGATATGAATAAATTATTATTAGGATTTTTGACAATTCTTATTGTAGTAAAATGCTGAATAATTGAATAGTTATTACGCATAGCGCAGTAGATAGTCAGATCTAATAGGCTCGATTAGACTTTAATAATTTTATTTATTATTACATAAAATAAACGCTTGACATATTAAATTGAAAATTCAAAGCATTTTCGCCCGAATGATTAGATTTATTTCTGAAATTGTTATAAATTTGAACTTTTCGAAGAATCCGATTTCAAAGGCGATAATTCTCCCTTAAGCCTCTGTTTTTGACATGCATGCGTTTAAAATAAATTTTACCATATTTTTATAAGCTTTATCGTTTTTTTAAATAAAATTTTCGTGTTGCTCTTTCAAAAGATATTTTCAGTATTTCCCTGGTAGTAACGTTTCACAAAGTTGAAACGCGCGCTGCACCTCGTAATACCGCATATCCGCACACGGCTTGGCACCGTGGAAAAGCAGCCTTGACACAAACTGGCCTCAATGGGAATGAAAACAACGGTACTCCACTTCCCCCTGACCCCTCGTCGCCCTCACCGTCGCTTCTGCAACACGGAAGAAACTGGCGCGTAAAGTCTGTCCTCCCTTTACCCCTACCTACCATCCTCTTGCTCGTTCGTTCTGTCACTGTCTCTGCCCCTCTTTTTCCTCGCAATCTCATCGTAACACATCGCGATCGATAAAACGTTCGATCCATCGCGCCTGAGGAAACAAACAATACGGCTTATCACTGCGCGAGATTGACAAGAGAATTGATACACATATCTTACTTTTTTCAGAAAATCGTTCGTCATATACTACTAAATTCATTCATAATTTTTATAGAGGAACGTTGATATTTATTTTGAACTTTTATAGAAAAATTATCCAAAGTATAATTAAAAAAAAAATTGATAATGCAATAATTTTATAAAATTATTTATTTTTAGTTTATGTAGTTCACGTAACGATTAAATTTTTTATTTGATAGAAATATTTATTTACTGCACGCATGCGCGAACAAAGAATTCATTGTTATTTATAATAATGAGATAATATTTTTATCTGATGGACAGATCTCTCTTAATGAAAACTTTTTTTAAGATAAATTATTTAAATAAAAAATATTAAAAGATATGAAGAATTTTTGAAATCATATTGGAATTGTTTGCTATCCTATTGAAGGCATTCCTAATAAGTCTTATAACCTATAGATCCTTAAAAAAACTTAAGTAACATCTTAAATATAATTATGTTTTTAAGTTTCGTTAAATTCTTAAATTTCTAAATCTTGCTCTAATGCTCAAACTATTACAGCTTCTGTTTTTTTCAGAAATATCATTCAAATTTCTGCAAATTTCTGAATATTCAAAATGTTTTGAAAAATTTTGAATTCTTAGATCCAGAGGTCCACAGTCTTTAATGTCCCGTGGATCTAAGAATATTATTACTTCCAAAAATAATAAAAATTTCGTATATTTATTTATAGTTTCATAACATTTATAAATGTCAAATTCTGAAATCTGCGATCTTAGAACTGAAATCTTTAAAATAAATTTGTACTTTATCATCTTATTTAAATAAAATATGAACATATATATATATATATATATATATATATATATATATAT